GGCCGAAATACTGTTTTAAAATACGAAGTTGTAGAAGGAAAAAGCCAGGGGGCCTGATGAATTGCTGGTGTTACTTCTTCAGTGACAGATTAATTTTTAAAATATATGTGAGGAAAAAAAAGGAGAAATCTAATGAATGTATTTTATAAGCATAACAGAGCCATAGAATAAATAAATGGAAAACTTAAACTGTGGAAAGAGATATGCACGTAAAATTTCTGATTCACTCTAAAATGTGTTGCAAAATACTTGTTTTGAGGAAACTGTTTCTATGTTGGTGTTATTTAGTGCAGCATAGGACAGAGAGTAATGGCTACGGAAATAGAAGTCCTTAGTTTTGTCCTTGCTCTGTCACTATCTGTGTAACCTTAGAGTACTTTGTGGTCCCCAATTTCCTCATCTCTAAAATAGTGAATTGGTCTGATTCCAAGGACTCTTGTAGCTCAGACTTTCAATGATAAAGGTTTTTAGAGGTTCTTTTTAATGTGGAAACAAAATAGGTGTAAACCCTTTTAGTCATTTGTGTTCTTAGTTTTCTTCCTGCTTCAGATATAATTCTTTCAAACTACCTTGAAGGAAGAAATACATATAAGAAAACAAGAAAGCTGCCAGAAATCAGAATCTCTACTGGCGAGTTATCACTCTCTCAGGAGCTGCACGTGTTTACTCTGCATTTTTGACATGCTTTATTCTCTTTCTCCCTACTCTGTATCTTTTGCGCATAGCCTCTGTACCTATTGTGTCTGACTCTTCACAACTTTATCTTGTCAATCCCCTAACCCAACTTTATTATTTATTTTCATGCCTTCTCCTTCAGCTCCTTCTGCCAACTGTCTGGTTTTCCCTGGGGCCTCTTTGAGGCCAGAGATGCTAGCCTAGTTGGCTGTGGAAGGGGACGTGGGCTCATGTGGCACAAAGCATGATTGGCCAAGACAGTACATGCTCTGTGATTAAAGTATCTAGGGCTCCATAGTGTGTGTGTATGTATATGTATGTATATAAGTTTTAGTTTTTTTTTTGTTTGTTTTTTTTGAGACAGAGTCTTGCTCTGTTTCTCAGGCTGGAGTGCAGTGGTGCTGGCTCAATGCATCATTTACCTGTTGGGATCAAGGAGTTGTTGTACCTCATGACCAGCTAATTTTTGTAGTTTTAGTAGAGACAGGTTCTCACCATATTGGCCAGGCTGGTCTTGAACTCCTGACCTCAAGTGATCTGCCTATGTCAGCCTCCCAAATGCTGGGATTACAGGCATGAGCCATGGAGCCTGGACTGCATAATATATTTTATTTTATTTTATTCTGAGACAGAGTCTCACTCTGTCACCAGGCTGTAGTGCAGTGGTGCGATCTCAGCTCACTGCAACCTCCGCCTTCCAGGTTCAAGCGATTCTTGTGCCTCAGCCACCCAAGTAACTAGGTTTATAGGCATGCACCACCACACCTGGCTAATTTTCATATTTTTGATAGAGACAGGGTTTCACCATGTTGATCAGGCTGGTCTTAAACACCTGGCTTCGAGTGATCTGCCTGCCTCAGCCTCCTGAAGTCCTGGGATTACAGGTGTGAGCCACTATAATCTAAAATATGGCCTGGCCATATTTTAGATTAAACTTTTTACTGTAGCATAATGGTTAGTTTTCCTTTTGCCTTAACATTTTCTATTTTTGTCCCTGCCTCATTTTACTATTTTTCTTTAATCTGTTTTTGTAATGTTCACATTACAAAATGTTGTCTTCTCTTCCCTCTCCCAAATGTGCCATCTAAAAATGAACTGATAGCTTGACACTCATATTTCCGTATCTTAGCTGGAATTTTAGTGTAGTTTCTCTCAAGGTAGTGCATTTTAAGTCTTAGACCTTATTGTGGAGTGAATGGGCTGTGTTCTGTGTTAATCCCCCCCATATTAGCCTCAGGCAGTATTACACAGAAAAAATATTTTAGGAATGGCTCTTTTTTTTTTTTTTTGGTTTGTTTTTGGAGAGAACTATTTGAACCTCTGAGCTGCAGTGAACATACTGTGTCTTTTTGTAGTAAATCTATGCCTCTCTAGCTGAAATTCCTCTGGGGACTAATAGGCAGCAGTAGTTCTAGTACGTTTGGCTGAGTGAAAGCTGCTCTTCCTGCTAGTTGCCATGATTGCTGTTGATAGTTACTTTAGCTATAGTTATAATGGCACAAAATGTAGAGCACCAAATAAATGCAAAAATAAGATTTGAATGAAAGATTTTAAGGTACTATTAGCCATCTACTTGCGTTTTTAATGTTACTGTTGCTATGTTTGCATAAAATACAAGGAAGTACTTCATGACAGCCAGTGTGAAATGCAGTATTTTAAAAACTTTCTGGCTGGGCGCGGTGGCTCAAGCCTGTAATCCCAGCACTTTGGGAGGCCGAGGCGGGTGGATCACGAGGTCAAGAGATCGAGACCATCCTGGTCAACACGGTGAAACCCCGTCTCTACTAAAACTACAAAACATTAGCTGGGCATGGTGGCGCGTGCGTGTAATCCCAGCTGCTTAGGAGGCTGAGGCAGGAGAATTGCCTGAACCCGGGAGGCGGAGGTTGCGGTGAGCCGAGATCGCGCCATTGCACTCCAGCCTGGGTAACATGAGTGAAACTCCATCTCAAAAAAAAAAAAAAAAAAAAACCAAAATTATAACAATAATTCATAATAAGAGATCTTTTTATATCAAGACTCCATAGATGGCTGGGCATGATGGTGTGCGCCTGTAGTTGGTCCTAGTTATTAGGGAGGCTGAGGTGGGACCAGGAGTTTGAGACTGGCCTGGGCAATGTAGTTAGATCTCAATATGGAAAAAAAGAGAAGACTCCATAGTTGTTTAACAGTTTTTGCGTAGGCTGGGCTCACTGGCTTATGCCTGTAATCCCAGCACTTTGAGAAGCTGAGGCAGGAAGATCACCTGAGCTTAGGAGTTTGAGACCAGCCTGGGCAACATAGTGAGACCTTGTCACTGCTAAAAATAAAATTTGTCAAGTGTGGTGGCACACACCTGTAGTCCCAGCTGCTTAGGAGGCTGAGGTAGGGGCAGGGGACGGGGTGTCTCTTGAGTCTGGGAGATCAAGGCTTTAGTGAGCTGTAGCCACTACATTCTAACCTGGGCAACAGAGCCAGACCTTGTTTCAAACAGCAACAACCAAAAACTGTGTATGCATACGTCTATATATGTAAAAATCAACTGGAAATTTCACAAAATTGATAGTGTGTACAGTCTACTCTGATGGTTTCATCTTGTGTTTTGAAAAAGTGCTTATTGCAAACTGTTGATTTTGTTCCCTGCTTTTGAAAAACAGTGGAGTTGGCTAGATGCGCTGGCTCAAGCCTGTAATCCCAGCACTTTGTGAGGCCAAGGCAGGCGGATCATGAGGTCAGGCATTTGAGACCAGCTTGGCCAATATAGTGAAACGCCATCTGTACTAAAAAAAAAGTACAAAAATTAGCTGGGTGTGGTGGCGTGCGCCTGTAGTCCCAGCTACTTGGGAGGCTGAGGCAGAAGAATCGCTTGAACCCAGGAGGCAGAGGTTGCAGTGAGCCAAGTTTGTGCCACTGCACTCCAGTCTGGGTGACAGAGCAAGACTCCATTTCACAAAAAATTAAAAAGAAAGAAAGAAAAA